AGACATCCAGCCTCCAGGACGGTAAGACAATAAATTCCTGTTTGTTCTAAGCCACCCAGTTTGTAGGACTTTGTAATGGCAGCTGCAGAAAACTAATAGAATACACTTTAAAAGTAAAAACAAACAAATGAATTTTATTTTACTTAATCCAAAATATTGTCATTTCAATATGTAACCAATATAAAATTATTAATGAGATATTTTGCACTCCTCTTTTCATTCTAAGTCTTTGAAATCCAGTGTGTGTTTTACACTTCAGCACATGTCAACTTGGACTTGCCCCATTTTAAGCGCTCAGCAGCCACGTGTGGGCAGTGGCTCCCACCTTGCACAGTGATGAACTTAAGTGTTAACTGTCAGAACTCTCAGCTGCAGGGTTCTCACCTGGCCACGCATCTTTCCATACTGCAAAGCTGTTCTTCTTGCTCCGGTTGGGATATAAATTAACTTTTTCAGACCCCTGCTGTTTACCACTAGCGCCAGGACCCTACCTTTTTCAGTTTTCTCACTTGTCTTTATAAATCCATGAAGACAAAATGCAAGGTGATATGAGAAGAACTGTAGAAGTGCACCATGACCCAGAGGGTCACTGGGACAGAATTGTTGACTAGAGTCACAGGGCACAGCCTGCCAGGGGTGCTGGCATCTTCCAAGAGCACCTGCTTTGTGCCAGGTATTGTGCTGGGTGCTTGACCCAAAGAGGTGCATGCGGTCCTTACAACAGCCTTAAGAGGCAGGTACCCTTATTGTACTTATTTCACAGAGGAGCAAAGGAAGGCTCACAGATACTGTTATTTGCCCATGTCACCCAGCAACCAGTGAGTACCTGGTACCATAAGGAGGTAGACTGACGTGTGTGCTTTTAGGGGCTCATTTGTCACCTCATCCTACAAGGAAAACCCCAGAGCTCAATGTTTCACATGCCTAAAATTCAAATCTTTTTTAATTGTGTCAGTGCGTATTTATTTGCATCCATTTAAATAACCTAAAATGAAAAACTTAATTTAAAATAAAACATATCAAATTGGAATAATTTTCTGAATCATAGGAACTGCATCCAGTTTTGAACATACAATTCCTATTACTCAGCAAATAGTGTTGATTTGCTAGAGATAGAAAATGAGTTGGTTGCACTTTAAAATTCCTAAAATGTTAAAAAATGGTGGGAAAAAATATATCCCTGGAGGAGTGTGATTTTCAGCTGCCTGAGGGTCCTGCCACCCCCCCCCCCAAGGCTGGAAATCTCATCCATTTCCTGAGGTCTGTCCAGTCTGCTGATCTCCCCATTGCAGGCTCCTAGGCCAGTCCCTGGAGGGGTGTATTACCCCCACATGTCTGTTAAAAGTCTGGAAATAATCTAGGAGGGCTGGACTCCCACCTGAGGGCCCGAGGGATTTGAGTGGTGCTTTGGGGACTGAAAATTCAGATATGTGGCAGGCCTTCTTAGTCATTTCCCAGTTTGCCTTTCTGGGAGAGGCTGTTTGGAAAGCTAAATCCTATAGTTTCTTGGACTCCGAGATGACCTGGGGCACCAGAAGTCCTGAGGTTTCCAGGTGTGGACAGGGTGGCAAATCGAGGCTTTGTGGTAGGAACCAGGGATAGATATAGGGTAGAGCCCGGTAGGTGATCTCTGCTTCCCTGAGTGCCCCAGCCACGGCTCCTATTCTCCCCCAGGACTTCTGGTGTGCCAGGCTGTCCCTCCTGGTCAGTCTGGATGGGTACATGAGGGGAGTGCTTCACTTACCTGCCATGAGCATTGAGCTCCTGTGAGACCTGTGCCTTCCCAGCTCCCGGAAAGAGTTGAGCCATGAGGAGGTGCCCAGGTTCAGGTCTCGGAAGAGCAGAGCTGTGTCCGCCGCACCAGCCCCATCATGCCCTGTGCCTTCTGGTTCGAGTCAGAGTGGTCCTCTGTCTTCCCACCTGTGGAGTGTATGTGGGGGGCTGAGTTGGTCTCTTTTCTTTCTGGGGCCCTTCTCAACGCCCAGAACATCAAGCATCTGTGCCCCCAGGGACCAAAGAATATCTGCTCAGTTCAGTAGGAACAAGGAGTCTCAGATTCCTCTCCTCAGCCCCTCCTCCCTCAGACCCAGGAGACTGGGCTGTAGCCCCTGTCCCTGCCGGACCCAGGCATCCAAGCACCGCCAGGCCCCCAGCTCTGTGGGTGTGGACCTTACCACCATAGGCACTGACACATTTGAAGAGCACGCTGAGGGGCAGCAGGGGGTCCATGAGGCTCAGAAGTTGGGAGGGAGATGTGGTAGACCACAGCACTGTAGCAGAGTAGGTTGCCATGACGCCATATGGCACCCACAGCCCATAGGCACATGGTGAAGCAGAGGTTCCCTCCTGTACTGTCCCCGGTGAGGCATATTCCCTAACCTAGTGGGCCTGGTTTGGAGGGGCCCACACCTGGCAGGGAGGAACTGGAACTCTGGGCCAGGAGCCCTGGGCTCTCAGAGGTGGGGTCTGGGGCCCCAACCCCAAGGTCTAGCCAACTGCAATTTTAGAGACTGGGTAAACCGAGGGAAGGATTTGGACCCATCTGGAGGACAGTGGTCGGAGGATCAGGCTGACTTAGGACATGGAGAGGCCTGGAGATCGGGAAGCTCTGGGGAAGCTTGGGAGGCTGGAAGTCAGAAGCAAGGAGGATGGGTGGTGGGAAAGGAGAGACTAAGGGCCATTTCAGAAGGCCAGGCATCTGAGGCCAGGAGATGGAAGGCCAGGATTCAGGCTGACAGCACTGAAGGGCCACAGGCCCTGTGCCCTGGGGTGTGGCCCCACCCTGCTCTGTGCCTCCCAAGATGTCGGGAGTCAGAGGTCAGAGGAGCTAGAAGAATGGGCTGGAGCTGGGCCAGTGCAGACAGCAGGGATGGAGATACAGGAGGAGGACAGACAAGGTCAGAGGAGATGGAGAGGTGGAGGGGATGGAGCATCACGGCTGCAGTGGGGGAGCAGGAGGCAGAGGAGGAAGTGGTTGAGATGGAAGGTTGGGTGAGCAGTGGGGCAGTGGGGGAAAGCGCTGAGGTGGGGGGTGGGGGGCAAATAGATGGCAGAGGGCTGGGTGGTAGGAAATGGAAGGGGAGGCTGGGGTGCAAGGCTGAGGCTTTAGCCACTAGATAGCTCATTCCCCCTGCCTGATGGGGTAGGGGCTTAAGCAGGCTGGGGCAGCAAGCCAGAGCGGGTTTCAGTGAGGGGCTGGCGTTCACCAAGAAGGGTGCAGTGCTGGAAGGCCCAGCAGTATGCATAGAAGCACTCCTCCAGCAGATGGCGGAAGGGGGCCTCGGGGGCCAGAGAGTAGTGGATGGAGAGGATACCAGCTCTTGAGGTAGGGCTCATGGGAATTGGAGGTCTAGGCCATGAAGCCACAGCCATGGATGTGCACCTCCAAGGACCGCGAGCGGGACGCCTGCTAGGGGCATGGCCGAAGCTCTAGGCTCCGCGGACCCTCAGACTTCCTCAGTCTGACCCAGGCTGCTGAGCTCCTCGCTGTCCTGGGGGTGGGGGACGAGGAGGCAGGTGAGGTTGGGGCGGCCTGCCTGGACAGCACCCCACACAGCGGATGTGCTCAGAGAGACAGGATGAGGGGCGGGTGTGAGCAGAGAGAGGCGGGAGGGCGTCTAGTGGGGAGTCCTGGGGAGGGGGGCTGCCTGTTCTCCTCAGTTCCCTACCTGCTCCCGGCTGAGGCGGGTCCGGTTTCCCTGACGAACTGCCTCACCTATCCGTGGTCCCTGCGCGGGGCCAACTCCAGTCTCCAGGCCCCGCCCCGAGGGCCAATCCCTGCTACACTCCACCGCCGGGCCCCCATATCACCCAATCCTGGGCTCGCTCCTCTCTGGGTCCCGCCCCCTGAGCAATCTGGGCCTCACTCCACCGCCGGGCCCCGCCCCCAACCGCTAGGTCCTTCGGCCTGGCCACGCCCCCTCACATGCATTAAAGGACTCCCGACCAACAAAAATACAGCCCGGGAGGCGGCGAAAACTGTCCTTCAGGCAAACTAGCGGGAAGTCTCGAGGGGGTTACCCCAGAAGGGTAGCCTAGATGTTCCCACGTGCTGACGCTCAGCATCGCATTCCCACTCACCTTCCCGGGAAGAGATTCTTTACAAAGCCACCCGAACTGCCAGAAGGATCCAGAGAGCAAAGATATTCCAAAGGAAAAGGGCGAGGCGGGGCGCCAACACTGGAGGCGTGGCGCTCTGCCTGCGTGCCTGCGGAGGAGGAAGCCGCGCCTTCTCCCACACTTGGTCTCTTAGTTTTCTTATAACTGTTTCCCTGGGTTCTTTTCTCTGCGCTCTCGCTCTCCCAACTCTGGGAGATTGAAAGGGTGGGGAAAAGAATGATCAGCGCCTGCGCAATAGCCCGGAGCTTCAACCTGGTCAGCTGGGGAGGCCTGGAGGAGGGAAAGGCACGTGCCTGGGAGAGGCAGAGATGGTTCGCGGTCCGCGCATGCGCACACAGTCAACTGCGTCTTGGGCGCCGGCAGAGGTGGTTTGGTCTGTGGCGGCGCTGTGGAGAGGGCGTCCCTAGACGCTGGGTTCTGGAGGCCTAGAGAAACAGCTCTTCATCGTCACCGCCGGAAAAGGCCAAACTGGGACCCTCTTTCCCTCCTGACCCTCCTCCCCGCCCTCGCAAAGCCGGCGAGCAGCCCTGAGAGACTCCCGTTCCGACTTCTCCTCCGCCCTCAGAGACGCAGCCCTTCCGGGAGGACAGGCCTCGGCGAGAGCAGCATGGCGGCCTGCGGACTCGCCCGACTGGGCTGCCCTATTTGCCCTCAGGCCGCTTCAACGAGGGACCCCTCTGTCCGCGGATGGAACTTGCGCGCCTGCCTTCTGCATGGCGGGCTTCTGAGCCCAGGGAAGGAGGGTCGGGGCCTGAGCGGGAGCTGAGCCTGCACTGCCGGGCCCCTGCCCGCTTCGGAGGAGGGGAGGGAGAGCTGGCGGCCGCCGAGTCCTGGGCCCGCCCCTCCTCCGCTGCCCCTCCTCCGCTGCCCCCCCTCCGCTGCCCCCTCCATCCAGCCCCAGCCTTGCCCGGACTTTGGCGGACCCCACAGCCCCTCTCGCAGGCTCCCTTCCTGAGAACAGCCCCAAGGCCATGAGCCTGGCTGGCCTGCGACTCCCCTGGGGGGCAGCCTGGCCGGGGAGCAGTGTCTTCCTGGGAGCTCAGGATCCTAAGTCAGGACGGAACCCCCGAGGGTAAGGGTCCGCGTCAGCCTGTGTCGTCAGTGCCTGTGGCAGTGTCTGCACAGGGCTGTGCTGGGTGGTTTGGGGACGGATGGGTGGATACTGGCAGGAGGGCAGCTTCCCTGGTTTCCTGGCCCCCAGCCCGGAGCCCTTGCCCACTTCTGTGTGATTGCCCCCCAATCCTCTGTGGGGGGCAGCCTGGTGCAGGGGAAGAAGTCCCACCCTGGCTTGGATCCTGGCTGGGCCGCTCCCTCACTGCCCGGCCTCAGGCACAGCCTTCTCTTCTCTAGGTGTCAGCTTCCTCATCCATCGATGGGGCTGGGGCTCTTTGTCTGGCAGGACTGGGGAGGGATCACCTGAGCTAACATACTGGAGGTCCCTAACTTAATGAGTGACTGTCCTGGGAGGCTCCCTGTCCCCCAGGCTCAGACTCACCCGTGTCTCCATAGTGTCTGTGATTCTGGCTGAGGCTGTTCTTCTTGTGTGCTGATGTCCCACCATATCCTGACATCACTCCATAACCAGACTTCCCCTTGAAAGCCAGCTTCATTCCCTGGGCCAGTCTCCCACCCCTCATAGCTGGCGAGTCAATGCCTAACGGAGACCCCAAGTCTAATTTTGAGACTGGATCTGTGACCTATTCAAAACATGTCTTCCCCTCTGAAGCCGGCTGCTGTGAGATTAGTTGGTGCAGTTCTGATAGAAATCTCCACTCCATCAAAGATCCCTGCTGGGGTCTGGCTCCCTGGGCTGGAGCTGTTGGCTGGCCTGTGGGTCTGACTGTCCTAGTCTCTCTTGGGCCGTAAATCTAATCTTGACCGGTGGTCCATTTTTTGGTCTAGGTCTAGGCTGGGCTGAAGGTGTTGATCCGCCTTCTTGCTGAGCTACAGGTGGCTCTCCTGGGCCAGGTTCTGTCTGGGCTACATGTCCCTCTCTCAAGTGTGGTTCCTATTAACTTCTAGATTCTATTCCTGGCCCACGCCTCTGCTGCAAGGCAGCTTCCTGTTGAGTAAAGGGCACACTTTGGGTGGGAGGTGATTGCTGTGGTGCACGCTCCTGTGGGGCAAGAAATTCCTGCAGCAAAGCAGATTTTTGTTGCGTTCTAGGTTCCTGCTGGGATTCAGCTTCATGTTCATCAAGGGGCTCCTGCTGAGTGAGGGGTCTTTGCTGTGAGGCAGGCTCCTGTTGGATATTGGATCCCTGCTGAGTCCTTAGATGCTGGCTGGGCTGTGGGTGCCTTTTCTGACCCAGGCTCTGGCTGGATGATTGGTGTCTGGTGTGGCTCAGGTTCCTGGTCAGGCCTAGATTCTGACTTGGAACCTGCCTCCACTGTTGTCATTTCCCTCACAATAGATGTTGATCTCCCAGGATTCATCAATCTGCACCCCCAACACCTCCTTTGTCACGGATCCCTCATTGATTCCTCATGATGGCACCTCCCTTTGGGTTCCACTCCTTCATCCTGACATCCCTGGTCTTCCTTTTGAAGGCAGTTGGCAAGTGGGCCGACCACTGCTGGCCCCCACTCCTGTGCCAGGTGATGCACTTCTGTGCCGCCTGCTGTGAGAGGAGGGATTAGGAACAGGAGGCTGTGTGCCCAGCACTGTCCTACCAGAGGGGAGGGGCTTGTTCTCTTGTGTCATAAGTAGGGCCCTGCCCCACTCACCACTCAGTTAAAATGTTTTTTCTCCTAAGGCAAGCATCCCAACTTAGTCCTCTGTTTCATCTGGGATGACAGAAGCCAGATTCTGGATGAGTGTTCTGTTTTTTTTTCCTCCCCTTCTGATGTTCAAGGAAAGGGTCTAAGGGGGAGATAGTCTCTATACTGTTGTAATCATCTTTTCTTCTTTATTGATTCTTTCAAATGGTTACTAGTTTAATTTCTTCATTTTATTGCTTTGATCATTTCACTCCCTTTTAAAAAAATGCCATCATCCCATTTTTACAGCTTGAAGCCCTTTTCAGTGACATTTAAGATCTTCCACACCATCTCTCTGGCCTTGAACTATGGTACTGCATATATGTCTTCTGTACTACATTGGAAAGTCATAGAGTACAACGACCATTAATAATGATGGTGATAATAATCATAAATAGTAGACGTGTTCTATGTACTAGGAAACTTGCCAGGTTAGTTTTTTTAAAGCTGTATTATATTTAATAAGACCATGTCTGATTCATTGCTATATATGATTCAAAGCTTTCTTTGCCCCATTTAGCTCTTGCTCCAGAAAGTTTTGTTGAATGAGTGAAAGAATAAATAGTTGGGCAGTGGAGAGAGAGAGAGTGAGGGTGGTGGTGGGGAGAAGTGTCTGTAGAATCTGGGTGGGGTTTAGATAGGGTAAAGTGGATCATCTGGATTGAATGTGAGTTGCCAGACCCCTTTGGAAAGAAATTATTTTGACCTATAACAGTAAAAAATATTTATTGACTTCTGTTTGCTACTTGCCTGGTTGTATTTTAGGTCAGTTGGGACCAGCAAGGAAACTGGAGCTTCCTGGTTTCTTTCAGGTAATTAAGCTTAAGCTTGGGTAAGGGAAGGGGCGGGGGTGGGTACAGGAAAAGATTGATGAGAGAAGGTGGCACTAAAGGGAGTAAAAATCATGGGGAAAATGGTTTTTTGAGGCCACTGGAGTGGAGACAGGGAGGGCGAGCTTGAGGTGGGAAAGGAGCATCCTCCAGGTGCGCTCACTGCCTCTTGACTGAGAGTGTTTTGTTGGGAGAGTGGGCTCTCAGAGCTCCTACAAAGGCAGAGAGAAGCTTGCTAGCTGACATCGTTTGAGAAATTGCTGGCAGGCTCTGGAGTGCTTGTTTGGCTCCCTGTGGTGCCTTTGGTGCCCTAGGGTGAAAATAAAAGGGAGAGACTAGTGTTAAAAACATTTTAAAAATTTAACTTTTACGATATCTTTTAAAATTATAGAAGTAAGACTCGTCCAGTGGAAAAAATTAAAGTAAGAAAATATATCCAGTGAAAACTAAAAGGATGGAGCCAGCCCTAATGGCCTAGTGGTTGAAGTTCAGTGCTCACCACTTTGGCAGCTCCAGGTTCCCCCCCAGGTCACAGAACCACATCACCTGTGTCAGATGCCATGTTGTGGCAGCAGCTCAGATAGAAGAACTAGAACGACTTATAACTGGCTTATACAACCAGGTGCTGGGGCTTTGGGGAGGGAAAAACAGAGAGGAAGTTTGGCAACAAATGTTAATTCAGGGTGAATCTTTCCCTGAAAACAGAAACAAAAACAGGAAACTAAAAACTAAAAGGATGTTCTTCCACGCCATCCTCCACTCCCTATTTACCAGAGCTAACTACTGTAAATAGTTTGCTGCATAGTCTTCCACATCTTTTTGTGTGTAAACATAATAGTTTAGTCTAAAATACAAAAATAAGATTATGCTATACATATTGCTTTGCTCTGCACCTTTAACAAATCTTTTATTATTGCAAAATATTACATATCTGTAGAGGTCCATAAAAACTCATATGTGCAGTTCAATAAATAGTTATAAAGCAGATATTCCTGAAACTACTACCCAGGCCTGGAAATAGAAAATTACCAGCAACTCCCCTCCTTTTTTCATCACTATCCTCCCTCCCTCCCTCCCAGAGATCATCCTGACTCTTATAGGAAGCATTTACTTTCTTTTCCTTATTGTTTTACCGCCTACTTGGTACCACTTGGTAGATGTTCATTCAGTAAGTGAGTGGACAAGTTTTGTAGAGAGGTCCCTCAGAGATCATCTGGTTCAATCCAGGTCTCCTATTTCCCAGACTCATGCCCTTTCTGTCACACAGATGGAGGGTGTTGCATCATTTCCCTGAGAGCTGGTTTCCAAATGTTGTCATGTGTTGTTTTGAGTGCTGTTAAAGTAATTTAAACAGGCATCTATAGCCCCTGCCATCCCAACTGTTCTAATAGTTCACTCTCACCTGACCTCTACTCCTAGTTCCAGAGGAAAGCCACAGAATGTTAGAGCGAGAAGGAATCTTGGATATTGTTTAATTGAATCCCTTCATTGAGAAGTTTTTTCATTGTAAATATAGTATAATTATATTGGAGAAAATTTGGAAAGTACAAATAAAGAAATATTTATTCTTACCAACTCTTGGTATTTTGCCATGTTTCCTGTATATGATTTTCTGTATATAGTGATAACCATAGCATGTGAGCAAATTTCTTTTTGTTCACTTTATAACCTTTTTGCTATGTCATCTTCATAACAGACATTTTTAATGAATCCATAATGCTCTCAACCAGTATATGTGCTCCACATTATCTAACTGTTCTCCCAATGCTGAATATTTAGATTCCTTTATTTTTGGGTATTGATAAATTTCTTTGTACTTGTAACTGTTTTCCAAATGTTGGATTAACTGTCTTGGGCAAGATTCCCAAAGTGGAGTTAGTGGGTCAAAAGATAGGAAAGCTTTGTATTTCTTGATATGATTACCAAATTACTTTTAAAAGAGTTATACTAATTAAGTAAATCACTAACTCTTTTTCTTTTCAGATGAGGAAACTGAGGCCAAGAGAGAGCAAATGAAAGTTCACAAAGGTAGTGGTGACACATCTGGAGCTAAAACCTGGGTCCAAAATTCTTAGTCTGTTTTTCTTTCTGCAGCTCTGATAACCCTAATTTCTTGGTGTAACTGACAACGAAGCTGCACATTACTCTAGTCTAATGTCTCCCAACCCTCAGATATTTATGGACCACCTTTATGATTTTTGCTATCACTTTTACCACTTGTACTATTATTTATTTCATACTTTTTCTTTAAACAAATTTAATTTATAAAACAGCCTCATCCTATGCAATATTGTCTGTGAGATTATGGGTTTTATATGTACTTAGACTTTTTCCTAAAATACAATCAAATAAACATAATTATTAAAGTAAAAGCTAATTTATGTTCTACCTAAAATCAAATTTGGAAAATGCTGATACAGTGGAATAAGCATGGACTTTTTTTTTTTTTTAGGAAGATCAGCCCTGAGCTAACATCTGCTGCCAATCCTCCTCTTTTTGCTGAGGAAGACTGGCCCTGAGCTAACATCCGTGCCCATCTTCCTCTACTTTATATGTGGGATGCCTACCACTGCATGGCTTGCCAGGTGGTGCCATGTCTGCACCTGGGATCTGAACCGGTGAACCCTGGGCCACCAAAACAGAACATGCGCACTTAACCGCTGCGCCACTGGGCCAGCCTCAAGCATGGACTTTATATCCATACAGACCTGGCCTCAACTACTTGTTCTGTCACTTAACTCTGTAGTCTTGGACAAGTCACTTAACTTCTTTGGTCTTTGGTTCTCTGATTTGTAAAACGAGGATAATGGTATCAACTGTCAATGAAAATAATCCATAACCAATCTACAGATGACAATTGGGGTGAGTTTATTATCAGTCAAATGTGAGGACTAGCGTGGCCCGGTGTCTTCCTTCCCCAAGGAAGGGCACAAAGAAGTGGGGTGTACAGAGGGGTTATATACCCTCAAAGAGCATGTTTCACATATGATTGAAATGTCCCTTTTACAGGAGTCGTGAGATTGCTCTATCAGCACAGCAACTGATGGACACAGCAGGTAGAAGGTCTGCTGTCTCGGGGCAGAGCAGGAAGCAGGTCTGTTGTCTCAAACTGGGTGACACGGGTAAGCACAGCAATCAATTCCTAGCCTAGGGAGAGATGCTTATCCTTGAGGAAATGCCAATGTGGGGCAAGTTGCATCTTAATCATAAGGCCATTTGTTATTGTCCTTAGGACTTATCAAATGCTCAAAGGAGATATACAGTGCATGCTCAATGGCCATGTCAGGCCCTTTTGGAAAAACAATATCAGGCTGAATTAGTTTTATACCAAATGGCTTCCTCGTATACTCCAATATATCCTATTGCTTGCCATTTTTTTGTCACCACCTTGTAGAGTTAGGAATAAATGAGCCACTGTGGGTGCCTAGTGCTCAGTGCCTAAGTAGGTGTTCAGTACATGATGATATCAATGCAAATAATCCATAAATAATTTGTAAGTCAAAATTGGGGTGAGTTTATTATGAGCCAGATTTGAGAACCGTATAGACCAGGAGAGTCCTTCCACAAAGGAATGGAGCACTCCAAAGAAGTGGGAATGTAGAGAGTGGTTATATACAATCAAAGACTATGTATCACATGTGGTTGGAATGTCCCTTTTACAGTAGTCACAAGATTGCCTTGTTGACACAGTGATGGATGGACACAGCAGGTAGCAGGTCTGTTGTCTCAAGGTAGGTGGTCACAGGGTAAGTGGAGTAATCAATTCCTAGTCTAAGGAGAGATGCTTATCCTTAAGGAAATGCCAATTGGGGGGGAGTTGCACCTTTATCTTAACGGCATTTTTTCTTGTCTTTGAGACATAGCAAATGCTTCAAGCAGGTATACAATGCATGCTCAAGCACCATGTCTGGCCCTTTTGGGCAAAAACAAGGTTAGGCCAAATTAGTTTTACACCAAATGGCTTCCTCATGTACTCCAGTATATCCTATTGCTTGCCATTTGTTTATCAATGGTATGGGGGACCAGAATTGGCTGCCTCAAAATCTCTCTCTTTGCCTTGATTCTTTTCAAGAACAAAAGTCTCTAAGAAACTTTGACCTCTCCCCAACTGCCTAAAAGAGTTTAAGATAAAAGTACTGTCCCCAGGACAGGCCATCACCACAGATAACTGGGTATGGGTAGACTGTGTGGGTCCTTGCTAAGCCCATTCTTATCTACCAAACATTTGCTTTTCCATTTCCATGTGAATTGCCTTCCTCCCCTTTGAAACCCCAAACCACTACCCACAACATCCTCCTTTGTCTTTAGCTGAAGGTGGTTTTTAAGCTGGCAGCCTCGGCCATTTTGGTGAGTTACCCAGTTCTCCTGGGACTCTCCCATGTATACATGTTATAAAGCTTTGTTTGATTTTCTCCTGTTATTCTATCTCAAGTCAATTTAATTCATAGACCAGCCTGAAGGACCTAGACTGGGTAGAGAAATTCTGTTCCTCCCCTACAATGGTTATGGCGGTTGTTTTTGAAGATTTCTAGTTTTTTCTCAAATGGAGAGTCTATGCTGGAATGTTCGGCTTGTTGCTTTCTGCTGATGTGTATGAGTAAAGAAGTTACTTCCACTTGTTTGGGCTTGTAGTAAATCTATCATTATTTTGACTTCTGAGTTTCACTCCATATTATCTTTGTGATTTTGGACAAGTTGCTTAACTTTTCTGTGCCTCATTTACCCAATTGTAAAATGGGGCTAATAATAGCACATTAGTGTGTGTATGCATATGTCTGTTTCTTAGCTCTTCCACTAAAAGGCCTAGAAGCAATAACACCTTGTACAATGGGCAATACCTAGTGCCATGGTTTGTGACTACCATTCTCCTGTGAAAGGAACCAGAGCTCCTTGGAGAATGGCTGATTCTAGGGCTGAGGTAAGAAATTTGTACAAGATGAGCCTGGAACATCTTGTGGTGTCAGAAAGTCAGGAACTGCTAAGCAAATGATACATGAAAAAGACACAGAAGCCCACTTGAAGAAGCTCTCAATGGCCAATTGTGGGGCAAAATGAGCAACATAATAAATAACGATAGTAATGGATTATAATGTGATGAGGATTATTTGGGGCAGGTTACTTTTAAAAACTGCAGAAGGGAAGGAGGCTCTGAGGAGCAGAATTTACTTACCCTTTGTTAAGAGACATTTACATTGTAAGGAGTATCTCCATCTGTAAAGGTGTCTCCCTCTCTGTACCAGAAAGAAGAGGGGATGACCTTATCTCTAGAAACTCTTAATCAATGCCAAAGGCAAGGACTTAAATCTACATCTTGTTTACTGTACTTGAGTGGTAATCACCGATGATCAAGTCCCCCTCCACCCCCAACATCCTCCTTTGTCTTTAGCTAAAAATAATATTTAAGGTGGTGGCTTCAGCCATTTACTTAATCTGGTTTGATTCTTATCTAAAAATTATAGGACCACCCAGTAACCAGACCCCCACCTGCACTGATACCATTTTAACAACTTTTTTTTTACATATTCTTTCCTTTGTCTTGCAAAGAGATAACTCACATACCTATGCCTTAAATTTGGCCCTACCCTCAACCCACGTTTGCAGCAGCTCTTTACTGCCCATGGGTCCTGTCCCCACGCTATTCCACACTATTGTCTAAATAAAAGAGCACTACTGCCAGACCTTGACAGTCCAAGAAATCTTTCTTTCGACTCCTCAGCTCGCTGACCCCACATCATAATGCACAAATATTCATGAGTCTTTACTTCTGTAAATAAATAATTAAATAAGTAAATAAATAAATAGGAGAGAAGGAGCAGCTCTTTCTTAGAGTAGAATCCCAACTAATAAATATAGAAGGAATGATGCAAATAGAAAATCACCATTTGGCGAACACTATAGTAATACTTGTAGGCAAGAATCATCAATGGATCTTAAAAATTAATGGGCAAAAGTATGATGAGAGGAAACAGGCTATTTGCATAGTCTCAGAGTCTCTCTCCAGAATATCCTTACTAATTACAATGGGAAAAGTAGTAACTTTACAGTAGAGAAACCTGGCTGACACTCCCTTCACCAAGTGTTAAAAGTTAACATCACCAGTAATGAGAGTATTCAATATCAAGGGCCATCTGATGGGATGCACCGAGAAGGCACACATCACTTCTGTGGTATTTTTGCCAAAAATGCATAATCTGAGCTTAATCCTGAGGAAACATCAGACAAACCCAAATTGAGCGACATTCCACAAAATAACTGACCAGCACTATGCAAAAGTATCAAGGTGATGAAAGACAAGAAGGCTGAGAAACTACCCTAGATTGGAGGAGACCAAAGAGACGTGATAACTTTATTGAGTGTCCGATCCCAGGATGGATTCTGGACCATGAAAAGTACATTAATGGGATGATTGACAAAATTTGAATATTTGTACATTAGTTAATAGCCTTGCATCAGCTAATTTCCTGGTTTTGATAACTGTATTATGGCTATGCAGGATATATAAAAAATATTCTACAGTTATTTGAAAAAAACTGAATGAAGGATATATTGGATTCTGATTACTTTTACATTTTTTAAGTTTGAAAAATAAAAAGTAAAAATAAAAAATATGTTAAATTTCTTTGAGGACAGAATGAGGTGATATGCATGAAGTGCTTAGAATAATGCCTGCAAGGTAGGATAACTTAACACATGTCAGGTATTATCAAAAGTAATTTTATAATTAATAAGTAATATTATAAGTCAGGAGCAATCTATTACTATAAGTAATTTATTTCCTAACATTCTCTTATATTCTCATCTATTTTCCCCCTCTCTTCTGTGAAAGGCATATTGGGCATGTATGTAGTTATTTTAAGAGATAAAGTTAGATCAGATTTTATTTTGGGGGGTAGGTGAGGAGTGTCATTTCCTCTACCCAGACTTCATCAGGTGTTGCAGGAATTAGGCTGGCACCTCAGATCCAATGTGGTTTGTAATCGCACCACCTGGTGGCACATGGAGCTTTCACCAGTCCATTGTCCTTGTGCTCTAGGAGCTACTTAAAAATTCAGCTCAGTCCATTTATTGAGGCCTTACTAGGTGCACATTATAGATCATTTAATCTTCACACAATTCTGTATGCTAAGTAGTATTTTATTCATTTTCAGATGATAAAACTGAGGCTCTGAAAAGTTAAGCAACTTGTCCAGGGTTACAAAGTAAGAGGCAGAGCCAGAATTTGGATCTCAGTTCCCCTGACTTCAAGGCTGAGTCTAAACATCTAGGTAAGTCTAAGTGGGTAGCCAGGTTTGAGAACTATTGATATAGAGCAGTGGTTCTCAATGGGGAGTGGTTTCCTCCTCTAGGGGACATTGGCAATGTCTGGAGGTATTTTTCACCCTCTTAACTGGGGGTCAGGAGGGTGTATGTGCAAAGGCTGCTATTGGCATCCAGTGGGTAGAAGACACGCGGATGCTGCTAAACATATTACCATGCACAGAACAGCACCCTACAACAAAAAATTGTCCAG